TTTTGGCATCAGCTGAGTTGTGTGTAGCAGGTTTGTTCATTCCCAAGAAGACCTTTCCCTCCCTCCCGGTCAGATGTGGCCTTTTTTTTTTTTTTACATATCTCTAATTTTTTCCCTTTTTTGTCACAGATTCGCCAAGCTGTTGCTGCGGTTACCGGCGCTGCGATCCATCGGCCTGAAGTGTCTGGAGCACTTGTTCTTCTTCAAGCTCATCGGCGACACGCCCATCGACACCTTCCTCATGGAGATGCTAGAAGCCCCTCATCAAATGACATAATAGCAGCGAGGGCTGAGCTCTCCTTCCCCTGTCTCTCCTCCCCCATGTGTCCCACCAGCCCTGGATCGGGAGCAGGGTCCCTTTTAAAACCCCCATCTCCAGCAAAAGGACAGATGACATGATGACTTTGAACGGAGATCCTCTCCCATCCTCCCTCGTTCCCTTCTCTCCTTAGCTCCCTTTGATGTGTTTCAAAACGATGAATTCATCATGTCTATGGGTCTGTTTTATACCTTGTAAAAATATATAAATAAGAAATATATATATGAAAATCTCACCATAACAGGAGTGACAGCAGCAGACTGAAATAAGGTCGGACAGAGGACGAAAGAAACAAGAATTTGAGCCATCGTTTCCATCCTCGCTTTTCCTACACCTTGTCAAGAAAAAGCTGAGATGATCAGGTTTTAACACCCACAACTTTGCTTGCAGGTATAATTATTCAAAAAAAAAAAAAAAAAAAAAGCAGCGGTGATGTCATGTTCGGACACTCAGCGTTGTGATCGGGACAATCGTGGACTGGGAGAGCCTCAGACTGTCTAGACTCGGACCTGAGCCCTCTCTCTCTCTCTCTCTCTCTCTCTCTCTCTCTTTTCCTCTTTCAGGACTGAACTTTTCAGGGGAGGGACGGTGGGGGACAATATGTCTGCTCCTAAAAGGAACTCGTCCGTTCCTGCCTGGCTCAGTTGAACACGTCAGGTCTTGCACTAGCTGTTTTTTGAAGTGTGAGTTTTTGTGGAGCAGAACTTGGAGGTGGGTTAACAAGACTGCAAGTGCTCAAAAACCTCAGGTCTCTGCCCAATTCCAACAAATACAACCATGTCTTACTCTATCAGCACTGTGCGACGTCCGGGTGGATGGCATATTCTGTCACTAATCAGCCCGTCAGTTCATGCTAACTGACTGAACAAGAATTGGGGGAGCTTATTTCGTACAATCTGTGCAGTCCTCCTGCACACAGGAAGGCGCAGGCTGTTGTAAATTAGCCATACATTAGCTTTATGCTACAGGAAGCTCTGACAGGCGACCAGGACGGGCAGGAACAACTTTTGTTTTCCTGTTTGAGACAACGGCTTTCTGTCCAAACCTCACAGGCGATCACATCAAGCTTGGACGGCTGTCAAGTGAGCGCACAGTCTGGTCTGTGGGGATGAAATGTCATCTAGCCGGCCCTCTGAGCTCCATTTTGTCCTTTTTCCAACCTCTCCACTTCTCATTTCATGTGAATTTCAGCACACCGTTTACACCTCCACACTCAGAAATCCCTCTGCTGAACGCAGCGGGTGTTAGCTTTTCAGATCACCTCATATCTACCTGTGCAGAAAGTTACAACCATATACAGTATTGATGTTATCAGTTTTTGATTTTAACAACAGCGATGCACGATTACCTCTGTTTCCATCCCCCTGACCTTCAGTTCTTGACACTCATCTAACCATTTTCAGTATACAGAAGAGTGCTTGTTGTTGCAGCAGAGCCATTATTTGTTTATTTGTTTGTTTCTTGGCACTTAACCTCATGACAGTGGAGTCGGGTTCCTAAATGGAGAGCTGATGTTGCTGTAAGCGACCTCTGAGGTGGAATTTGGCCGGGGCCTAATCAGGAAAGCCAAAATAGTTTTCCTCCTCAGAGGGACACACACACACACTCACTCTCTCTGCACTTCTCTGGACAACCAAGTGTCATCCACATTGAATTGAACTGTTAGATATCTCCATGTTGTGTGTAAGTTTGCTTTATTCTCATTTTCTGCTTTTTTTTCTCCTCTCATTTTTCTCCAAATGCTGCAGCTGCTGCAAAACTATGCATTGAGTGCATTTCCAAAGATTGTCTACAGAGCGAGTGCATGTTAGTCCGGCTCAAACTGGTCCGATAACCTTTGAAAACACGCGGTTTTGAGGTGTGGGTTTGTGGTCACATAATCCTGGACTGGAGTATTTATCTTCATTTGGTCAATTTTTCCATTAATCAGATATTTGATCGTCATTCTGTGATGGTTTTTCACCTCTGTGTGTTTAACAGAAAAACAGCCAACAGTTTTCAAAAGTGTGTTATGGATTATGAAAGTGTGGCGGTCTTTAGGGTCAGGCTAAACAAGAGCTGTGCTGAGTATGAATCGGGAGAATGAGATCACCTCAAAGAAAGAAAAGAAACCCTTGACACTGTTTTCATGGACAAACGGGGGAAGTACGGAGTCCTGAGTGTGCCAATTCAGAAAAAGTTTGGGTGAATATTAATAATCTTTTTTAAAAATACTCATTTAAGATGATACAGTTTATTCTCACCTATCCAGGTTATTTCTGAATGAATGAATTTCTCTAGTCTTGCTCTCTCTAAAGATTTTCTTTGTTTAAGGATCCTGTGAGGAACTTTCAGGTTGTCTCAGTTCTAAAGCTCCCTCGACTCTTTCAGCTCATTTACTCTGGCGATAGTTTTGTCTAATTCTCTGGCTCCTCCTCCTTTATTCTTATGATGAGCTGTCAATCATTCATCTTTTTTTTCAATTATCTAGTTAGTCTTCTTAGCGATGAGAACTCCAGGACAAAAATCTGCCGAAAAACTGTGTCAATCATTTGAAGTTGTTACTTTGACCCTGGTTTCATCTGTTAACATTAGGGAGGCGGGGTTTATGGCCTATATGTTAGGGAGCTCGAAAATTCCAAAGCCAATCACTTCATCCGACACAAACCCCCTACTAGAGTTTTAGACATGAAAGTGACCTTATAGGAAGAGTCTATTTGCCAGTGTTCCTGTTAAATTTTCAACACTTCTTATCATTTCGTAACCAGATATCAACCCCTCACAGGAGCTTTAAGCACTTCAATGTTGTCACAGTCAATTATGCGATTACTCGATTTAAAACCCTGACAAATATTGATAAATTTAGACGCTCAAGAATAGCAATAGAAGCTCAAATTGGCATCAACAGCTTCATTATTCACTTTCTCTTCGACTGAGATATCATGATAATATTTGTCTGTTATTTGGTGGCACCATCAGGACTCCATACGTCGACTCCAGTCGTTGATAAAATGATGATTTTCCATTTTTTTCGCTGTAACGCTGATTCCCAGACACCTCAGTGATCTTTGTCCTTGAGGAAAAAAAGGGAAAGAGTTTGTTCTGAAATGTCACACACTGTTCACTTTCACACAGGACCACAACATAACAGCAGAACGCATGAGGGGTGTGTGAGTTCCCTCTAGTGGGCGAGAAGCAGCACTGCAACATTACTTGAATTTTTCTACAAGTATTTAATCAGACAAAAAGACGGCACTTTCTCACAGCGTTCTTATCGTCTCTTGATTAGACAAAACCTCAGTGTCTGTTTATGTTCAAACTTTGAAAAAGTAGCAATAACTTCAGTATGACGTGTTTTAATTTTCCTCAACAGTTCGCTGAGGTGGCCTGTATTCGAAGAATCTATCCAGGTGACAGTATTGACTGCCAGTGTGAGCTCCGTTTACAGTATTTGTATTCTGGAAAGTTCAACTTTGTACCTGCTAAATCAACTGTTTCAATCAGAACAGCAAAGAGAGCTTTACTCTGACCATTTATACGAGGTTTCCACATTTTAGGGGATGGATTTGAAGATCTTAATCTCAATTTTTAGCCCAACTTAAAAAAACATATATATATCCTGCTGTTCCCTTAGATTTGAGGACTCGTCCTCGTAGTTTACTGTGATCTGTGAGCACAGGTATCTAAAGCCATAAGGTGGATGTTAACGTTCAAGCTCACTCCCCATCAGACAAGGATCTGGACTACAATACGGTTACTTACATGAATGCTTTTAACATAAAGCTATATTTTGTTAATATGTATATGTGTATATATTTATAAATATATATCGACAGAGCTGTTCCTGGATTATTTCTGACATCGAAGAGGGAGACGAGTCTTTTAGACCAAACAGTTCCATACCTGGTGTTCTTTCACTCACTAATTCATGACACTTTTGTTTTTTTGTTTTTTTTGAATTTCAAACTTGACTTTATAAAATTCGTCCTGATCAACCAGCAAAACTGCAGCAGCTCTGAACTGAAAAAAGAACCAGCTTTCCAGCATTCTCTGGAACTTCAAAATAAAAAAAAATAAAATAAAAAACAGAACAGAGAAAAAAGCAAAAAAGGTTAAGACTTTAAACCCTCAAATGTACGTGTTGCTTGGCAATTGTGTTCAACAAGTGTAATCAGGAAAAGCTGAGCTCGTGACACAATCACTGCTTTCTTTGTTGCGTAGACAGAAAAAAAAATGTTCAAGTGAAAATGAAAAAAAAAAAAAGTTGAAAAACACTTGGAAAGATCTATTTTTGTACAAAGGTAATTTTATCCCTCGCTTGTGTACTCTGTTTTCTCCCCTTTTCTTCTGTGAGCTCTTGTATGCGTTGTGGAAAAGCTTACTGAGCGAGGCGAAAGACAACTTTCAGAATGAAAAACTGAAGGTGAGGAGTTGTTAGCTTTGGCACCTTGGTAACTGTGTCGCTTTTACTTTGCCATTTTCAACCTGTCGCTGCAAGATGGGAATGTCCTTTCATTATTTTTATGTCTATTTTTAAGGAGATGGAATTTTTGTCATCTGTTCTTTGTGGGTTGTTCTCTGATGTTCTATCTTTCATGGACAGAAAAAAGGTTATTAAAAAAACTTAAAAGTGAAGTCTGATTGTTCAATCATTCAACAAAAACGAGAAATCACTGCGGGGATTTCAAGTCACTTCAAACAATTTTTGGAAACATGAAACGTACAAAAACTGGTTTTATTAAGTTGCAGTTTATGAAGTCAAACGTGAACATAGATACGAGTAAATCCAGGTGAACTACAGAGATGTCTGTTTGCAGAACTACAGCATGAGCTAACATAAAAAACAAAGCTAAAAAAAACAAGTCACAGTCCAGGTTCATATACGTATGTACAAAAATCCTACAACATAGAGATGCATTTGGTCACTGTGTAAAATCTTTAAGACATTTGAAGTGGAGGTGGACCTAACTCAGTGGGAATAAAAAAAAGAGCGAGAACGTTTAGCTTTTTTTCACCTCTCCTGTAACATCACCTATATTTGCTTTAAGTTTCTTCCCATCCTAACTTTGAAGCCCCTCAGAGTTAATGCAAAATTAAAGAACCTGTTTTTCTAAGATCCAGGTTCCCGTGTTTAGCGTGAACAAAAACACAGGAAATGGTGCCGCTTGAATAAATAACAGAATTACTCTTTTAACCTGACTCTTCATGGGAAACTCACTCCTCATCTTAAACCTACAATGACCGTGAATATTCAGAAGGCAGAATAAATCATAGAAAGGCCCAATAATCATGAAATTTAATGTACAAGACAGAAAAGTGATAAGAGGCAGAGACATCAGACTCCAGTCCAGAATCGTGTAGCACCAGAACAGAGGACTGACATGGAGGTAACTTAGTCTGACAGATAAAGAAACTGATGAGAGATCTTCAATGTGGCAAAAGAACTTTGTTTTCGATACTGTGTGTGGCTGATGTGTCTCATTTGGTTTTGCTTGCTGGATCTCATTACCTGAAAGCCCTCTGTGCCCTGCAGGAGCTTCCTGTTAGAAAACAAGTCCTCTTTTCTTATTACAACAAAATGTTAAAAAAAATCTATAAAAAAAGGAAATATGAATGGCTCAACAGTTCCCAAAGGGCTTAGCAGTCACTTTTCCATAGCTTGATGGTTTTGTCGTTTTCTAAAGCTGCGGATGCGATGATGTTCTCTGTCGGGTGGCAGGCGGTCGAAATGACGACATCTGAAAAGACGAAGAAGAAGAACATTAAAGGGTGTAAAAAAAAAAAGGAAGTTTTATTATCATTTGAAGAGAACATTACTTCTGTCGGCAGCCTTTTCTTAAATTAATTCCGTCTTTTCCTGCTCTTAGAGTCACCCCGGAGAGCTGTACAACGCTTTGATCGTGGCGTACTGATGGGTGTTGACATTGCATCAGGACACCTCGCCTGACTTTAAAGTTTCTCAGACTTTGAATCTGTGCTTTCAAACAAAAAGAAAAACAATCCTGTTTTTTTTTTCTCCTCTACCTGTGTGGCCTTGGAGTTTCTGCACAATCTCCTTTGTCTGCAGATTCCAGATATAAACCATGTTGTCTTCAGACCCCGACACGATCCACTGCAACGAAACGAAGGATGAGTGAAACTACATGACAGGAGCGATCATTTCAAAGGCATTCAACAAGACCACATGTATGGCATTAGATGTCCTATGCATGTTAAATGTAAACAAACCAAACTGTAAAATAAGAGCTCTCACCTTCCCTCCTGTAACAGAGAAATTTGCAAATATGCAGTACTTCTCGTTTTTATGGCCGGTGTACGTTTTCAAGCACTGAAATGTTGGAATAAGATAAAAACAGTTATTTGTTTGTATGACGGTGTCGAGAACCCAAACTTTTCACTTCATACTCTTATCATAAAAATGATGCTTTTAATCATTTAGTCAAATTTAATTCACTGGAGACTCAACACTCCACTCACAGGAGAACAAATATCCAGCTTACCTTTCCTTTACTGTAGTCCCACAGCTTTAGCGTGCTGGAAAGTAAACAAAACATTCAAACTGTTTATCTGAATCTTTAACAATCAAAACAGCAGCGTTAAAGCTAATCTCTGCAATCATGTTCATTTAATACCCCCTGTTTACGTCAAACTGCAGTTAGTGAGAGCCTGCTATGACGTCATACTGCCCCCTGCTGGAAAAGCTTTATGACATAAAGGTGGACTGCTCAACCATGTTTCAGCTTTCCTTCATACTCACTTGTCCAGTGTGGCAGCCAGGATGTATTTGCCGTTGGGTGAAAACTTCACAAATGACACAGGAGGGTTGTCATCATCTAACATTAACACAACAACAGGAGAGCTGTCAGTTCATGAATCACATCAAATTCAAAGTTAAAGTCCTTCAGAGAGGATCGAACCACCCTGACTTCTTCACTTCTTCAGTGATTTAAAATGTAAGCTTACCTATGAGTGTTTTCAAACACTGTCCTGATGCTGTGTCCCAGATTCGGCTGCAGATGAAAACAAAAAAATACGGTCATTCAATCAGACGTTTCATTACAGAGTTAACACACAAGCATTTACAGACGTTAACCAAGAATAAACCGATTCAGTCAAGATAAGATTCATTCATGCCAGCTACACGGTTTGAGGTTTTACAGATATGCCCAAATTCTCCGGGGAGAGACATGTGGAAACGTTCAAAGATGTAAAGAAAGCCGTCTGATCAAACGACAGGATAAGAAAGGAGAGATATTTAATTAATCCCATGTGAGATACTGTGTTGATACAGCGGCTGAATTCACAGTCAGTCAGACAAAAACATAAAACAGTAAATATCACAGGCATTCCCACACACCACGAGATTATCACCCCATCATTATCATGGTCTTAAGATATCACAATAACTACACTATTGTGATATCTTTGAAAAACACAGTAAATGAAGTGGAAACAATATTTCTGTTCATAAATATTAGCTCTGTTTATATAATACTAACCCTAAACCTCTAATTATGTCCAAATTTATTATTTATCCTCATCGAATGATTTTATTTTGTCATTTTTTTTTCAGACATTCGAAAACCATGCTTTTATTTTGAAATGCTTCTCTGGGTAAATGCAAAGTAATGAAAGTCAATAAAAACATCAGAAAGACTTTCGATTGAATAAGAACCAACAGACACACAAGCCCTACGAAGGCACATTCCCTAAATGAACTTTACTTATTTTTAGCATGTAGTTTATTAGTCGTATTAAATAAAGACAGTTACCATCAAGACCATTAAACTGCAACAGTCTTACTATTCAATGTGCTGAAAAATCTACTAATAAAGAAAAAAAAACAGACGGTCAATAATGACATGTCCCTGAAGTCAAAATAAAGAGAGGGTTAAGTTCTCAGGAATAGGATATGTTTAACATGCACTCTCTATATTTTGTGGTTAAAGGACATAAATCTGCACTAAGACTACAGATGGTCAAGTGTACCTTTACTTTCTTCAACACTCGTAACAAACGAACTGAAGGACACTCACACACGAGCTCGTAATTACAGCTCTTAGTCTCAGAGTGTTATTTCCTTTATGTTTCAGATGCTTCAAATGCAGAACGGCGGGTTACAGCACACATGGACTCGACAGAAGGCCTCCGTCTTTGAAGCTATAAATTTTCTACATCTTTAGCAAACAACATGCATAATTTAGTCAAACGTGAATGGATGAGACAGTGCATGGAGGGTTCAGCTAAAACTGTGTCAAGACGATGCAATAGCATAAAAACATGTCAGAGGCTACATCCTCATCAATGCAGGATGCAAAATGGAAATGTAGAACAAGGTTTGACCTTTTCCCCTGTCACTTTTAAAATTATGTGCAACTGCTGTGTAAAAAAAGAAAATAAAAAGTGCACGACTGGAAAGTGTGAGCACGTCAAATATCAAAAACAGAGGAAGAACGGTCGTTTGTTCTCACCAGAGGCCGTCATAGCTACTGGACACGATCAGAGACCCATCTCTGTTGAAATGAACCTGGAAGTCGAGACAGATCATCAAAATAATGACACTTCGTCACTCTGAAGTCGAGAGGATTCATGTTGAGAATGAAAAGTGACTTACAGCAGAAACAGGGTCAGAATGTGCCGGCAATGTTTTCAAACATTTCCCGGTCTTCACATCCCATATCCTCACACTCTCATCAAACTGGAAGCAGAAAACAAAAGTCAACCTCTTTCTTTATCACAGAACACAAGATACTTTTAATACTGGAAGTAAATATTTAAGCAAAGAACATCTGAAATTCCATTTAGTTTCTGTTTCATGCTTCTTACTCACCGATCCTGACACGATAAGGTTGGACTGAGGGTTGAAGTTGCAGCAGAAGACGTAGTTACTGTGACCTTTAAGAGTTTTTAGGCATTTCCCCTGAAATGAGTTGAAATGTCACATATTTTGATCTTACAAATAAACACCACCTCTAACTCTGAGCACAACCTGTTTAGGACCCCAACAGGTTAGGACAAGTCTGAGTATAAAGTAGCTTCAGTGATGATACAGCAGCCAGCCACTGCTTAGAGAAACTGCTTTACTGCCAGTTTCTTATTGGTTTGCTCATGCAGACAAAGCTAAATGCTGAGTAGGATGACAGATGTTTTAAGCGTCACTAACTGTGAGTGATGCAAATGTTGAATTTTATCTGCCTTACCGAGCTGACGTCCCAAATCTTCAGAGTTTTGTCATCAGATGCAGACACCAGGAGGTTGGAGTCAGAGGACCAGGCCACATCAGATATACCCTGAGAGGAGGTCATAATAGAACATCAAAGATGCTATAAGTACACAACAATGGTTAAAAAAAGACTATAACAACATCATTTCATCTTCAAATACACCATCAGAAAATATGAAACCCCGCTGCAGGTAAATACAACAGCAGAAACTTACAAGTTTGTGTCCAGAGATGGTTTTCTCAAACTTGCCATCATACGCTCCCCAGATTTTGATGAGTTTATCAGCAGCTGTAACGACAAAGTTCACATGTACTCACTCCAAACATGGATCTAAGAGGACGATGATAAACAGACGTCTATAAAACGAAGAAGATTCAGTGATTCTTTGCCATTAGACGAGAAAAATATTGCCACAGTTTCATCTGAAATTCATTTATATTTTGGTGTATTTTTCAAGTAAAAGCGTCAAACATCTTGTGCCCCAGTTACTAAGTATGAAACTTTTTTCAGATACAACAGGGTATCAACATTTGAAGAGTTTTTGAACTGTCACTCATGCAAAACAAACATTCAGAAAATATCAAATTCTCAAACAAATAATCAATACTGTTTTTTCTTTTTTTTGATAGTTCATAGATTAATAAATAAACTCAGAAATCCAAGTTGATGTGAAACAAGAGCATTTGTTACATGCAGTTCTGTTTGACTGTGGCTGTAAACTTTTAACAAACAGAGGAAATTAAAGAGACGGAAAGAACTTACATGAACTAGCGAGCCATTCTCCACTGGGACTGAATTTGACCGAGGACACGGCCTTTGTGTGACCGGCTAGGGTGAATTTCAGGCTGTAGTTTGGCTTGGCAGGTGCAGACTGAAAATAAATTAAAAACAGTTCATAAGATACAGAAGATAAGTTTAGAAGATATTTATTGATCACAAAAGGGGAAACTAAATATTAACTTAATAATAAATTGATATAAATTCTCTTCCTGGTGTCTGAAAAACGGGCAAAACTTTAATTTTTAAACATCTCAAAATGAAAAAGAAACAAAATATGTCCAAATAGAACAAGTAACAACAGAAAACGCAGGACAGAGCCTTCGTAAAGGATCCAGACCTTGCTTTGACTTGCAGATGCTGAAGGTACCACTGGAGGTTTGGTGTCTGTCTCTGGTTTCTTGTCTTCTGTTGCCATGGTGAGGCAAAGAGCATCTATTCAACACTTCCTGAAGCGGAAAGACAACACGGAGAAAGAATTACATTTGATGGATTCTCGTATGTTTCCAAACACAAAGAAACAAGCAGTTACAAGAGTTTGCATGATAGGATAACAACCACATGGATGCTTATAACACCAACGGTGTGTGATACTGATGCTGTCGTTTGTTTTGTCACTGCTAACTAACCCTCACATACTGTTCAGGTCAAATTTGACCCTTTGACACAGACATAACATGTACATGTGCTTCTGCAATATAATGTACCGAGTAACTAATTGGAATCTGTTTAATTGGGAGGGAGGCGGTTAGAGTCATAATATTATGAGGGTAGAGAGAGCGGCCATTGCAGTGGAAAACAAATACAATACATACATACATACAAAACACATGTGCAAGCTCCACGAACGTAAAGTGTCCTCCCTTTGCTTTGAATGCAGAGACAAGCAGTGAGAACAGAGTTCAATATGAAGTTTGTTGTCCGATTAATTATATTCAGATCATTATGACTTTTATATTCTTTTATGTCTTACATAATATTAGATGACATTATCCTGTATCATAGATATTCTTCTCTAATGTATATATTTCACCAAAAACGAGTGATGTTAAAACTGAAAAAATACACTTTCCCTGTTCTTTGAAACATTTAGGAAGGACTAATCAATATTTTTTTGAAGTAGCAGAGGTCATTAAAACAATATAAAAAGGTTTGGGGTTAGAACTTTGGTGAAGATACTTGCTACATGGGCAATTCTTGACCCGGAACATACTGTGAGGGTGCACGGTTTGAACAGTATAAGAGCCAAGGCAATACCAATCATCTGAATTAAACTGTAATCGATATAAATACCACGAAAAAGCGTAAATTATGAAGTTTATTTCAATTTAAATCCAAAAAAATGATCCTCGATCAATTTAGCATTCAGCTCAGCTCCGTTTACCAGACAGAAGCAGTGACTATAAATCGGAAATACACGAACACATCAAAAATATGGCACATTTTATTCGAGGAAAAACAATGAAATCTGTATAAAAAAGGAAAAACAAAGATGGCCTTCGTTCAGATTACATTATCTGAACTCTGTGTGTTTACAGACCTGACAACGAATCTTCCTGATATTATATTTAACAGTAAAATCTTGACACAGAGGAGCATAATTCCATCTAAATCGGTTAGAATTGAGTCTGATCGTGGAACCGTTTACTGTCGGTTTACTGTCGGCCCTCCTCCATTCAAACAATGAGGTTTCACTCATAAACACATACTTACGAGGATTTACTGAGCCCTCACGGTCAGATTTGATGCTCCTCGAAGACTGTACAGAAACGATGATACAATTCCTCATGTGACCGTGGAATAAATCAAAAATTATATGTTTTCTTCTTAATTTTTTTTCTCACTGTGAGGAAAAGCGGGGAATGTGGTACGATGGTGCTGCTCTGCGCATGCGTGTTATCCTATGAGGCAACGGTAAGTATTGAGGGACAATTAGTGTCAAAAGCAATACAAAAAATCGTCACTGGTTCCGTATCATAAAAGTGTTGTTTTTCCGTTCACGTTTTACAAAAACAGCGTGTAAAATGAACAAAATTGGTTTTCCAGCTATTATTTGTGAGTGTATTTTACGATACAGTTAATTAATGTGCAAGTTTCTAAGCACTCCAAGACAGTAGATGGCGCTGTCTAGCCTGTAAATAACCCGCCAAGACGAAGAGAAGGAAGGAGAGCGAACTCCCTGTTGCTGGTTTAACCATAAACATTATATACGTAGACACCCCATTACATGCTGGAGCGTAAACCAGCGTCACTGCCATATTGGAAGAGTCTTCCCACTTCAGGTTCGTTCAGGAGCCAAAGGGGGTCATTGGAGAAAGAGCAAATGTGCTCGTTTTTTTACCCCTCTATGGCTAAAAACCCGACGCAGTGTTGAATCCAGATCACGGAAGATTACATTTCACAAACAGGATTGAAAAATATATATTTTTTATTTTTAATGTGTGACATTGTCCTGTATTATGGCTAAATTCCTGCCGTTGTAACAAACCAAACAGTGCGAAAATCGGGCAGAAATTCGGAGAGTTATTATTAATATGGTTGGGCATTCCTACTTACTTTAATGCACTGGATGCGCGAAAAGGACCCACCCAAGATGGCGGCCACGCTGATACGAGAGCTCCAATCGACATCGTCGGCTTTGAGGTGTCTACGTATATTATGTTTATGGCCAAGAAGAAGAGAAGGAAGAAGAGCGAACTCCCTGTTGCTGTTTTAGCCCCTAAACAACATTTGTAGTTGGAAAGTAAAGAAACACAACAGTCTGGGGGAGTGTCTCTCGGTCTGTGAGCACAGTTCACTTCCTCTGAGTTCAGTAGAGTTTGAACTGTTATCCAGAGATCCTCGTGTCTGTAGTTATTTGGTGAAATCTCCGTCGCCGGACTCTTTACAAACTCGGGACTCCTCATCGTCCGGAGCGAAACCACAGGGCCGTCCTAGTTTATACCTGTAGCGTCAAGGTGGGTCATGAATACCTGCTGTAGGGAAAGATCAGACTGTAACTTACGACACGACAAACTGAACTTTTCAATGTGAAACACTCAAGTTATTAATGACTCTCAGTTATGGCAATAATCATTCATGTGTCCTGACGGTGACAAAAAGTTTTGTTTTTAATTTTATTAGTTTCACCAGCTTATATTGTATCCATGTGCAGTCATTGCAGTAGTTTGTATATATATATATATATATATATATATATATATATATATATATATATATATATATATATATATATTTGTGTGTGTGTGTATATATATATATATATATATATATATATATATATATCATAGGGCTGGGCGATATGGGAAAAAAGTTTACCACGATTTTTTTTCCGATATCAGTCGATATCGATGTATATCAGGATATAAAAAAATGAAATATGACAGTGCTTATTGGTAGCATGTCTTTTGCAATACAATAATCTAAGTATTTCCTCTTGCTGTTTAAGTGCTATGGTTGCGTGTAGCTGCTGTCTGCTACTACACAGTTGTTCCCTACTTGGTTCTAATTCAGCACGATTGGTTTAGCACGAAGCTGACCTGGAGCAACTCCCCTTTCATTGGCTGCAACTATAGGTAAAGCCAACATGCAAACACAGCACGGTCTTAACCCTGGCTCAATATTTGGTCTTTGTGTCATCAGGTCACATTACATGGCTCAAAAACTATGGATGAAGTGGGTTAATGTTCTCCCAGAGTCTTTAATAAGGCGACTGACAAAAGCTCAAACTCCAGCGGACCCCTGGATGTTGTGTTCGGATCTGTCGGCTCCTGCCAATATTATGTCGGTGGACCCTCCACAAGCTGCCAATCCTCCACCTCCTGAGGTGACTAATTCTAAAACACCAGGCCGATTGACCAACCAGCTGAAGTTCATGCAGAATGTGGTGATGAAATCTCTGTGGAAGCATACCTTCGCCTGGCCGTTTCACAAGCCTGTTGATGCAGTCGCTCTGGGACTACCAGTGAGTAGTTTGTTTGAATGTTGTATGTAGAAGTACTCTATGTTGCTTGAGTTTATCTTCACTGAACTCCAGAAGACGAGGCAATCAGATCTTGATAGGAACACACATTTTCTGGATTCTTAGTAGCTATGAAGAGCAGAAAATATGCAAATATTTGACTTATTCTAGTTGTAGTATCAGTCAACAATGTCAGAAGTGTTTTTGTTTTTTGTTTTTTTAGATCTTATTGTAGTAGTCTACGTTCTTTCCTCAGACCAAAACTGCTTTTTGTGGCTATGGAGTGGCTTTTTGGTCGAGGTTTGCACATGGAGACGTAGACCGCTGTGTATTGCTATCGTTCAGTCATTACAAAAGTTGGTATAACTAGAGGAGCCAGCAGTCGGCAACATTCATCTTTCAAGGGGGTGTTACGTGTGTTTGACCATAGCTTAAATTTACGCCTGAATATCCCTTTAACTGACAGACAGGAGACTGTTGTCAAAATGTTTACAAAGACAATCACCTGGAATCAGTGGAAGTATAAAACCTCACAAGTGATGAAATACCATTTTATACTAACCCCAGGCACTGGTAACAGACTCTGACTGATCCTTTAGAAAACTATCTTACATGTTGGCTCTTCTTTCTGTAGGATTATCACACCATTATCACATCTCCCATGGATTTGGGGACAATCAAAAAAAGACTTGAAAACAACTACTACTGGAGTGCAAGTGAATGTTTGCAGGACATCAACACTATGTTCACCAACTGCTACATCTACAACAAGGTGGGGAGCTTTGTGAAATCTCATTATTCCCTGTAAAGTCAAACCTAAACTAAACCTCCAGATCTTGGTGCGCTCTAGCCAACAGATGACATCGTGCTGATGGCCCTCGCTTTGGAAAAAGTTTTCTTGCAAAAAGTTGCCAGCTTGCCGCAGCTGGAGAGAGAGATTTCCCCAACCAAAGTAAAGGTCAGAAGAAACTACCAAGGTAAATGACCTCCCATATTTAAAAAGGTGTCACACATGTTAAATAAATGTGAGGACTTCAACATTATGAATGTGTCTGCAGGCGTTTGTCCGTGTGTGCTTTTATGTGAGTAGAGTGCATATTTAGCCTGCATGAACGGCGATGTTACCCCCGAGTCCCTGACAGTTTTTTCACCATCTGTAGTGATTTACTGCATCAGTGACCTTCTGTTTCCTGTTTGTCTTTCCACTAAAGGGCTTGAAAATACAACCTTTTTCTACCTCCTCTATCAGGATTCAGTGTTCTGTCACTCAAATTGTGTTTCTTGGTTTGGTTTTCTGTTCTACGTCTGTTTTCTGAAGACAAAAAGTAAAGACAAATGCTAAATTAGCTAAACAGTTGAAAAAAATGTAGAAATTGCATTATATTGTATCACGATAATATCGTATCGTGGGGCCACTAGTGTTTCCCACCCCTAAATTTCATGCATAAGAGCATCATAAGCTAACGTTCATGATGTGGTAATGCTTCGATTCCTACCACAGCAGAAACAAGTGCATTTAACAGTTTGCCTGTTAAGAAAGGAGGAAGGGCAGCAGTACTTCATTGGTGATCATTAAAATCTGCATACACAACAAAAGGATCTATCAGTGGACTAACCATTCTGTGTGCTTGACATCTGGAGGTGGAGGGCCATATAACTTTTTAATTTTATTTTACAGCTGCATCAAGGTTTGTCACGACTGCATCTGTAATGGACACTGAACATCCATGTTAATATTCATGAGCGTTGTTGGTGGCACTGATGGTTAATGTTTGAGGCCTTTAATATGTGCAGCTCTCAGAAGAGTGTATTTTAATTTGTGCTGAAAGAGCACAGTGTTCCCTCCAGTCTGGAGAATAATAAGGCGTAAGGAAGAAATCCAGTCTGTCCATATATGCTCATCTCACTCCCTGAATAATTGGTCTTTTCAAAAGGAAGTAAAACAGCAGTAACAGCCTCACTTTGTATCAATTTAAGACTATATATACAGTATATACACAAAAGATCAAGTTGATTTGTGACTTAAAGTACATTTATTTTTCTTATTTCCTTCAATTTGTGTGGACACATGCCTTTAGGTTCTCCATTCTCCAAACTCACATCTCAACAGATCCTCAGCAACGCAGCAGGACCAACACAGACCACTCCAAAAGTGAGTTCCTGATAGACTTTAAAGCATTTGTGAGGTTTTTTAAGCCACTGAACATTGAGAAATAATCATTCCTGTTTTTTGTTTGTTTGTTTTTTTTCATTGAAGAAGACAGTGTTGAAACGGAGAAGAAGCACAACTGGCGCCTTCGATCAGATGGACATGGACGGGCACAAGTCAGCACAACGAGGAAGTGAGCAGCTTAAGTATTGCAGCAGTATCCTAAAGGAGCTTCTGTCAAGGAAGCATCAATCCTACGCCTGGCCGTTCATCACACCTGTTGACGCTAAAGCTCTGCAGCTCAACGATTACCACGACATCATCAAATACCCCATGGATCTTGGCACTGTCAAAGTGAGAGCTGCATGTTAATGTGTACAGATACAGTTCATTATCTCAACAGGTTATATATATTATATTTGATAATAACAGAGACTGTAACTCCTGATATTCCAGAAAAAGATGACGAGAGGAGAGTACCACGATGCACAAAGTTTTGCTGCAGATGTAAGGTTGATCTTTTCTAACTGCTACAAATACAACCCTCCACACCAAGAAGTTGTAGCTATGGCCAGAAAACTTCAGGTAGATTTTGAATCATTACTATCAACCATTAAATATTTTTAAAAATACATAAATTAATCCATTTCCGATGTCCCTGTGTATGCTTTAGGGTGTGTTTGAGAGGAGATTTGCAAAGATGCCAGAAGAGCCAGTCGAGGTAAATCCACAGACAAAAAGTACAGGTGTTCGGGACCTAAGTGTCAACGCTTCCTCCGACTCAAACAAACCTGACGTAGAACAGGAGCAGAACGCACGGATTGCTTCTTTGCAAGAACAGGTGGGTGCAGCAAAGGCGGGTTTCTGGTTGATCCACCTCGGTGTCTGCGCCTTAGAACCATCATCTGACCTGCAGTAACTTTTTGTGCACCTTTTTCTGCAAAGTGCAACAGAAATGTAGCTTTTGTCCTGATTAAAATCTCAACACTCACACAGTCCTCTTGAGATCAGAGTTTTCTGGAGCGAGTGCTCCTGGCAGTATCCAGTTAGTTCATACAGAGAAATAGTGGTGTACAGAGTGGTGCAGTTGTATACTGTTATGAACATTTATATTTAGATAGCTGTTAAAATGGAAAGAAAACAGTCACCCTGTTTTACTTGTTCTGCTTCTGCAACAGTAGTTTTATCATAAATGTATGCAGGGTTCCTCTGTAGGTATGAAAAGTATGGAAATAAATTAGATCAATTTGCGGGTCTTAAAAAGTCTGGAAAATGGAAAATAAGTTATGGAAAAATAATCATGTTTCCAATATTACCGGAGTGCTAAAATTCTGTTTTCTAAAATAGAAAAGTAGGTTTTTCCAAAAATAATTCCAAAAAGTAGGGTATGGAAAAGTACGGAAAATCCAACCGTGTAGGAACCCCGTGTATTTCTTCTGCTTAAATTTCTTGTCTATAGTTTTAGCCTCACCTTCTTCTAGACACAAATCACCCTCATACTTCTGTTTTTGTTTTTTTATTGTTTTGTCTTTCTCTGTGTGCCACTGTTTTGTTTGGTCTCTGTAATTTATCACTACTGTTGTTATTAAAATTGCTCATTTGTTGACTCTACCCAGCTAAAAGCTGCTCATGAGCAGCTAGCAGCGCTCTCCGAGGGAAAAGACAAAGAGGAAGACGGCAGAGGGAATGAAGGCAAAGCAAATATCAGGTCTGACATTGAACATGAGATACCGAGCTTATTTTCCCAGCGTATCACTCTTTTACACAGAGATATTTGAGTTTTTGTTTACAAACTCAGGCAGCTGTGGAAGAGCAGTCAGGACTGGGATTCAGATGATGACTCTTTGCCACTGACATATGAGGAGAAGCACCAGCTCAGCCTGGACATTAACCGGTTGCCTGGCATGAAGCTGGGCCGTGTGGTCCAGATCATTCAGACACTGGAGCCGTCCATGTGCAACACCAACCCAGATGAGATCGAGATTGACTTTGAGACACTGAAGCCGTCCACTCTGCGTGAGCTGCAGGAATACGTGAAGGCTTGTCTGTTTAAGAAGTTTACGAAATTTCAGAGTGAGTATGAAGACTTGCTGCCCTCTTCTTTTGAATCGTTTCACATCCAGGGTCTGATTGGTGATGGTGTTTCCTTTTCTTCCTCTCATCCAGAGAAAAGCAGTCAAATTGTGAGTCATGACAGCGGCTGCAGCAGCTCTTCAAGTTCAGCCGGAAGCAGTCCTGGTCACTCCAGTTCAGGAGACAGTGACTTGTGAGGTACAAAGTTCATACAATTGTTTTTTTTGTTTGTTTGTTTGTTGTTTGAAAACGCACTTTTACTCCCCGGCTTTAAACTCCTGAAAACTTTTAATCATGTTTTCACTGAACCATCTTTGTCCTCCTGTTTTGAATGTGTTCCTGTATCTTGTTTTATTGTTCATGTTAATCGTCTGGTTCTTTTTATTTTGTTTTTCATTTTACTGTACAGCACTTTGATCAGTGCTTTGTTCTTTTTTATATGCTTTATAAATAAACCTGGATTTGATTGTTAGTTTGTTACAGAAAAAGTCAAATGTTGAAAGCCTTTATTTTTGTTTGTTCTTTTATATTGTTTCTGAGTTCAGTTTGTCTTCTCTCACTGTGTCTTAATAAATCACAATATCCGTCTCTGCCGTATCTTATCAGAAATTGTAAATTCAGAGTTAAGCCTGGTGACATGTCTCAGTGACTAGGGCACATTTTCATAACACCAGTGTCTCAAACAATATCCTGTCTCTGCCATTCTGTTTCCACATCCTGTTCAATTACAGTGCAGGTCTTTTCAGATGCATCAGAGAAATGTGTGTATTTTCCTCTAAATATCCCGTTTTTGTAAATCACAGCTGACAATGCTATAAAAGATTATATGCAACAGATTGTCTCACTATGAATTCCATACACAGTCATTTTTCCATGGTGAAGGATTTCCATAGCAAAGATCTGGTTTGTGTCTTTTCTCTCACAGTTGTGGGTTTTGTTTTCTGATTACCATAATTTATAAAGAACTCATCTCAGGAAATGTAAAGAGAAGGAGAGCAGCCAGAAGATGAACCAGTTTCTGCTGCGATGAGGACCACAGCCTCAGCACATGAGAGGGGGGTCTGAATCAACGGGCCAAACCACTGTTTTTAAAACTTCTCAAAGAAACAGTGTTAGGTATGTAACTTGTCGTAAATGAATCCATCACAGTCACCACTGTAAAAGGCATGATCAAGATGGCTGCCTACAGTATGTTGCACCAGAACACATACACTGTTCAGCATTAGCGTGACATCCCCAGATGTGTGAGCTTCCCATGCAGGTACAGTCGCTGACCTCTTAACTGACAACAAGCCGAGTGGTCCCTCTGCTTTAAAGCGCTGAACACTTTTTTTTCAGTTTCAACATCTGATATAAGAATAGGAAGAACTTTATTGATCCCTGAAGGGAAATTCAATTGTCTGTCGTCTCATTTGTCATGTCTCATTATGTCATCTACTATTTATAGAAGAGTTGTAAAGTCTGATGGCAGTGGGTACAAAAGATCTTCTGAAGAGAGAGGAGCCATCCACCACCATCGGCCCTTTGGTCCATCAAGGTGTTATAAAGTGGGTGATCCATGTTCTTTAGAATAGTCTCCATGATATGTTGTTATGGCACTATTTTCAATGAACTATAAATAAAATGATTCCCAAAATATAAAAAAAAAATTCAACAGAGAGGTATTATACATGGTAACTGCATAATTGTGTCTTAAAACATTATGTTAGATAAAGAAATCCCTTTTTGTCTTTGTTTTCTTTGTTTTGAATGAAGTGATGCTCATTGTTGCCCTGTTATTTGCTTTACAGGATGAGTGTAGAAAACTCAGAGGTACTGAGTTCTTTAGTGAACAATATGCACCGGAGTGAAAGAAAGCCTTCCTGCCTAAACCATTCATTCCTCTTACAGCTGGCCGTGCCAAATGCTCTGCAGAAACTGGCACTCACCCAAAGCTGACCAGTTCAAACAGCTGGTGCCTCCTCCAGTTTACGCTCCATCAGATCACAGCGCTTAACTCTTTTCAGCAAGGGCCGGAGGCGCTGGGGGGCTGTAGTCTCGGTTGTTTGTTAAGGGGGCTGTGGCACTATAAGCTGGTTCTGTTGGCAGAGAAGACAGACTGCACAAATGTGACTCAACACGTGCAGTACAGTAAACAACCAGCAGGTGGCCTTCATGTACTTTATTGGACCCTGTAGATCCACTGTTGTGTTAAGAATATCACTGTTTAATCACAGAGAAACACTTGTTCATGCTATTTTTGAACATTTTCTAATGAAGTCTAATATGTCTGTGAATAAATATTTGGTTTAATGTGGTTTTGAAAAGGAGAAACACCTGGCAACTCTTTTTCTTCAAGAAAGAACAGAAAGTGTACGTCTCAAAGTCCACGGAGGTACTGATGACTCTTTTTATGAATCCCATCCAGACACACAAGAGTTTTAAAATCTGGTAGAAAAGATAGAATGATACAAATGCATGTTCACAGTGGCATCATCATTTATACTTCCTTTACCCACAGCTGAGATCGTGGTCCATGCACTCAGCATGTAACAGCGTTCCCATCAGGCCACATGGAACATGCTACTCAGCAGATACCAACACCCTTGAGGTCTGATCGATTAACGCTGCAACTTTAATGACAACTAGTCATTTTCTGCCACTTCTGGCCTTTCCTCATAACTCATGAATCCAGTGTTCAAAATTCACACTCGTGCAACTCTGCAGACACACCTCAGACAAACTGGGATCACTGTGATTAATGGATCTTTTTCCACATTGTAGACTGGAGGAACAAACAATAACATGTATAGTTCCAGTGAACATAACCTAAAGATGCTGAATCAAAGTATGTACGATGAACTGCACGTGCATTTATATGCTGTAAACGATTAATGCTAATGTGACATATACCGAGAATCTTAATTGCAAATGAGCTGATACTGATCTCAGTTAAAGGGGTGCTTCTTCTAGTCTCACACATTTGAGTTGTTCAGGATTATCATTCTCTATACGGCTGTGTTGCTGGATCAGGTGCCTGTTTCTATAACCTTGAGGGCAGAGCTGCCGGCTTCACTATACATTAAGGCCTCCGTTGCCCCTTGTATATTGTCGGTTTTCCTTGTGAGCGGAGGAGAGGAATAACTGTTGCGCCCGCCTTCACAGACAAGGCCGTAACAGGTTGTTCTATGTTTCTTGAAATGGTGTGACCTTCGGTTGTTTTTCCCTATAGTGTTTAAGGATGAGCGTGCTCCCCTTTTCAGCAAAGCTATTACAGCAGTACATGAATTCACATATCCTCACTACTAATCAGTACAGCCACAGTCTTTGTGAAGACATCTGCAAGATGTTGTTCAATCAAAGGGTTAAGATTCGTTCCTCTAAGATGTGAAGACACAAACGTGGCACAGCAACCTAATTCCCCCCTGCAAATGCCCTGCTCAAAGATTTATAAGCCATATTTTAGGCTGATGAGGCTGCTCAAAAGGTCTTTAAAGGTTAAGTGATCTCATGGCGCCATGAGTCAAACTCAAAGACATCACAGCATGCACTGTGCAAAGGACTATAAATAGATGTTCACCCATCTATCAGCTTTATAGGTCCAACAATGCAGAGCTCTGCCAGACCTGGAAAAAGATTTCGCCGACCAATATCAGACAAATCGAGATACGATCTCAAGCAAGTGTAGCAGCAAAAGATGATATCAGAGCAGACTGTGCAAGTGCATTCAAACTTACAGTACCCTCATCATTATAAGGACATACATCTTTAAAGATTTGACCAAAGACGAGATGCAAAAATGACCCACAGCTGGGTTTGAGACAGAGTTACAATAATCTGTCTTTGATATTCAATACCAGTATGTCTTTTTGACATCCAGTAATAACACATTATAGGATATCATAATTGGGCAGACCCAAAATAAGCTGCAACACCACTAGGGAGGGTGTCCAAGACAACTTTGAGGGCTCAACCTGGCGGCACAAATCTTCATTCGTATGTTAAAACTTACAATCTTCAGGTTAAATTCCAGCTCTGAAATCTTACAAACAGTGTTAGATCACAAAAAAGCACAGAGCATCAGTCATTGCTGAGCTGCTCTGTTACAAGCCTGAGATATATGAGTCTATCCCAGTGGGAATCTGAAGGTGGATCAGGAACATTACGGCCCAATCTAGAAAGTAATGAAACATGACAAGGACAGATTAACAAGAAACAGGTGGTGTAGGTGGTTGTAAGTGACATCTGTGTAATAAAATGACCAATTAGGATTATTTGATTAACAAAGAAAGACACAGGGGAATCTTTAAAAAGGGAGATAGAATCATGAAAATTGTATGAAGTAGATGATGAAAGCAAACCCACAGTTTCCCACGACAAGAAGAAAACTCATTTTCAAGCAACACTGAAAACTTGTGAGTGATTTTAGACAATTTTTACTCTTATTGACTTACTCACTTAACATGTGCTAAAACCAAAAATATTTCACCTGTTAACATAAACCTGACATGTTTTTTTCATATTTTGTGGTGTTACAACAGTGACTATGAGGAAGACCCAGGACACGGTGAAGGGACTGTGTCTCTCAGCTGGCCTGGAAATGCCTCGAGGTCCCCCAGGAAGATCTGGACAAATTGGCTGGGCAGAGGGAAGTCTGGGCTGCTGCCCCCATGACCTGACCCCAGATAAGCAGTTGAAGATGGATGGATGGATGGATAGATGGATGGATGGATGGAAACATATTGTATTGTTGTATATTTTTGATTGCACGTCTGATTGACAGGTTGATTGGTTATGGCTGAAGCATAAATCCCACCTGAACTCCACTTCTTGGTCTGACACTAAGGTTGAGACTTAACTTCTAACATGACGGCTGCCATCACTGGGCTTCATAGGTCACAGAGGTCACTGAGACTCTTCATGTTTAATACAGATGAAGGTCTCCAAGTCGACCAAGTCCATGTCTCTTCAGCTCCTGAACACTCCGCTATGTTAGTTTTAACAGCCAGTTGGTGTCGGCATGGTAACTGCACAGTTGTTCACCATAGTATGTTGTGTTGTCAAACTTCTGATGTTACTAAGATCCTGAGAATTAACCTTATCTCTTACTTAGCTAAAGGTAAAACTAAAACATGTCCCCAGAAACACAGATCAATTCCCTGTTGAACTCTGTGGAACTGCAGAGTTGGTGATTTGCTCTGTCATTTTAGCAGCACTACGTAATGTCTATTTTTTTTTAGGAGAAAAGCCAATTGGTGAAAATACAAACATGAGCATTCCTTCATGGCATCACCAAAAACAAGGGACAGGTCCGAACACGTCCTCTATGTAGCTCCGAAGCAGAGCGTGGGGAGTGTTTCCAGCTGGACTTTTTGTAGCTCTCTGCACTTCCATCCACCAATCATAAATTTGGGGCTTTTGGATTTTATAAATGGATAAAATATTGGCTTATTGTATCAATCTGAGGAGGCAATCTTTTGCTGTCAATGGCCTAAGAATCGAAGTCATCTTCTAAATCCATCAGGTTTAATTAGCATCGCAGTGTTTTTTTATTTTCTCATAACCATTAAGACATTGTCAATAAATGTGTGTATTTTTAGAAAGTGGGTATCTTAAGTGTGTGTATGTGTGTGCTTGTGATGGTAGGTTTATTGATGATATTACTGTGATAAATGAACAAACATGGAAAGTACAGAAGTGTCATGTTACTCACCTACTCTGCTTCCTCTAGTTTTAATGTCACACACACAAATAACAGTTCTGTGTTTCATCAGACAGTGTCCTGCAAAGGATCTGTCTGATGGCAACTTTTAGTTCCCATGGTTTAGACGTGGTTTTGTTTATGTGTCTACTAC